ACATGGATGAGCAGCATGGAGAAAAGAAGGAAAAATAAATCCACCGTAAAAAGCAAAAGAAAGGGCCTTTCTGCAGCCCCTGCAATGCATCAGGGTGGCTGGGCTCGGAGCTGCAGACCCCAAGGCACGGGGGAGCTGGGTCCTGTGTCCCCGCGACAGCCTCCCTGGCCGCCATCTGCCCATGGGACAAAACCAGTATCACCTTCGTCACCCAAGCAAACCCCTCCTGGGTGCCCCAACATGGTGTGGGGGCACTAGGACGGAGCATGGTGCAGGGAAAAGGCAGGCAAAGGTGCAGCCAAAGAGACCCAAAAGACCCAGCAACAGGCAGCAATTTGGCTGGGAAAATGTGAGGTCTCCCTTAGTTTAAGTGTTAGCAAATTATTCAACTACTAATCACAAAATGTTTGTAATTATTATTAAAAAAAAAAATCACTTTATAAATCTCGTGCTCTGCTATTGTTTCCAGCTTTCTGTGATGGATAAATGGAAGAAATCAGTAATTATTTCCAGGGCGGCTCAGCAGGAGGTGAGGATAATGGGGGTACTGGGACGGGGCTGCTCATTCCTTGACACTCAGTTGGTGTGACCTGTCCCCCACACCACCCCTTTTCCAAACCCAGCCCTCCATGCACAACGCAGGAGGGAAGGACAGAGAAAGGAGACCAAGAAAGCAAAGGGAGGAACAAGGCCAAAATAACCCCCCACGCAGCTTTGGCAAAGGCTCGGCACAGCCCGGCACGTCAGTCAGCAGCTGAAGAAGGGCTGGGGGACCCCGACGCCTTGTGGAAAGCCAGGGATGCCCGGGAGCAAGGGTACCCAAGGAGCAGCCTCTGCATCACAGGCACTTTAGCCCAGCTTTGTTCTTATTTTGTAGGTTTTTTTGGTTTGGTTTTGTTTTTCGCCATCCCCGCTAGCTCAGATTTCCAGCTGTTGCAAGCAAGCAGGTCGGTTCATTATCCCGAGCCACAGCAGCTTGGAGGCTCCCAACCACGCCACAACAGGAATTTGCCAGGAGGGGAAACAAAAGCAAGACAAGGCCAGGAAGGAGTAGGACCATTCTCTCACCCCTTCTCCCTGGGCTTACAAGTACAAAGTAAAAAACTCAGCACAAAGCCCATCTAGAGCCAAGACTTTTTTTTCCTTTGATGGCTTCTTTGTGCAACTGAGTTATTGCCTGGTACTGGGAAGGTCAGGGAGAAAGCCAGCATGATTCCAGCTGACCACAAATTCAGTGCCCCATTCTCAGAATCAAAATGGATAAAAGCTGAGACGCCCACAACTGCTGTCATTCTAGTGAGGGGTTACCTTGCCATCATTAGGTTTCAGAGTGAAACACCAGCAGAGAAAGTTCAATTACTTTCTCTCAAGGAGAACAAGCAAAATCCACCCAGCACGCTCATCCAAGGTCTTGAACGCTTTCCCCAGCCTCCCAACGATCCCCGCCCCTGCTTTTCCTCCCACCTCTTCCCCAGCATGATGATGCATTGCACCTTGACCACGCAAGGAAGCCATAAAGCAAGGCTGAGGGAAGGGGCAGAGCAAGACAAATGGATTTAATATCAACCCGAATGGAGCGTGGGCTATCGCACCAAATGAATTATTCATTTTGGATTCAATAACAGCCTCCATTTCGCATTGGCCCACAGCTCTCCCTGGCACGAGGTGCTGACAAGGATGGGGGAAGGCAATCCCAACGGGTTTTTGGGTATGGCATGCTATCGCCCAGCTGAGAGCAATGCGGCTTCGCGCCAGCCGGGAGGTGTGAGCCAAACCCCAGCCAGCCCAGGACAGAAACAAGTAACGGGGCAGATCGCTAAGGAAAATCTCCCTCCCTCCCACCCCCATCTTAGCGTTGTGGTGGTAATGACCCCCTCCCATCACTCTGACCCTAAAACACTACAATAATCTCTTCGGGACTCAAAATGCTCCCGACGAAGATTGCGTTCTGCCTGTGCCTCTCGCGAGTGGCTAAGTGCCGATAAAAGCTGGTATTAATGAATCCCTCGGCGGCCCCAAGCTCTGCTGTCAGCACGAAACTGCTCCGGTCTAATAGCCCCGTGATAGGCACAGCCTCTATCCCAGGGGGTGGGAGGGAGGAGAGAGGGCTGGGGGAGCGAAACAATTCAACCCTATTTTTTTTTTCCCTGCTGCTGAGGAATTAAGCCCATTTTCTCAGCCTTAAAATACAGACGGAGGGGTTTTTTTATTTTTTTTTTTTCCCCTTGGTGACAATTCCCACAGGCTTGTTAAGTGCCTCATCTCAAGTTGATGAAGGCTTTGAGCAGATGTCAGGAGCGCGTGCGATCTTGGCAGCATCCCTGCAAGGCGAACAAGGCAGGGGAATACGACCCCTACGAGAGCACAAAGACAAAGAGAAAACCAACAAATTATTATTTCTGAACCACCTCACCACATGCCACCTCCTGCCCGACAGCCTTTGGGAAGGGCAGCAGTGGGCTCAGGTCTTCACTTGTGGTCTCTGGTCTTCCCTCATGGTCTCCAAGGCCCACGGGGATACAAGGAGGAGCTTGATGGCCAAAAAGTGCACATGAGCTACCAAGAAGCCAGAGTCCAACCCATGGTCAGATTTTTACTCAAATACAATTAATTTTCTAACAGTCCTAATTAATTTAAGCCCTGGTTTGGGCTTTTAGGACTGGTTTTAGTGAACTTCCAGGAGGGGCTAGCGGGTTTATTGGTTTGGGATTCCATGTCAGCGTTGAGCAGGACCTTCAAACATACAGGTCCCATGCACAGTCCCAGCCTTTCATCCATCTTCCTGATGTGGGAACTGGGAAATACTCTCACAGGACTGGGAGAGGGGAGTTACCAGAGCTCTGCTCCAGACACAGCATCGTACCAGTACCCGACAGCATCCATGGATCATCAAAAAAGCATGACCCCATCATCACGCATGTGCTTGGTGCCATTTAACCACCTGCTGCACCCACAGCGATCATCAGTGCCTTTCAGGATCCCAAATGCTGCCAGTCGGCCCATAAAGGACATTTCTACCCCCTTAGACCTGCCAGAATCCTGCATTTTTTTTCCTCAAGGAGCCCAAATGCAAAGTGTGTTCCCCATGCAAAGGCAAAACACTCTCTGGGAGCTCTGCAGAGCCCACACTCGGGTGGCGCGCAGGGCTTCTCCTCTGGCATCGGCGCTGCCGAGGAGTGGGAACACAGCTGGAGACGAGCGCTGCGGCACAGAAAACTCATCAAATTCCCCATGCTCAGGGGTCTGCTCAGTGCAGCTGTGACAGCACAAACACATTGTGCCCTTTCTGGGGTTTGCACAAGAAAAGGAAACAAAAAAAGTGACGGAGATGGGTCTGACGCCCACCCTGAGCAGGTTTGCTCCCGTGCCTCTCATGTCCTGCTGTCCTCCATCCTCTGCCCTGCCCCAAACTATGAGCAGCGGGTAGGTGCGACACACTCCTCCTGGGGGTTAGAAGCATTCAAGACCCCAGCTTCCTCCACCATCCTGGCCGGCAGCAGATAGAAAGGTCACCACCACTAAAACCCGCGGCAGTTTTACATTATCATTATTTTCCTACATTTCTGGCAAAATGACATTATTTCCCAATTCCAGTCTTTAGCTAAAATTAGTATTTATTTTTCCTTGATGAGAAAATGTCATTTTGCCATAAAACCATGTGCGCTTTCTGTTTGTTTACTCAATAGCAGAGGAACGTCTCGCCAGAAACGCCAGAAACACTCTGACGGCGCACTTCAGCTCTCACGGGAAAAGACCATCCCCTGGTGGGAACAAAACCATGTTCAGGGTCAACCACAAAACTCAAAGTAACCCACCGGCAACACTGCTTGATGTGAAAGCAAAGTGCACAGACTCCGGTGGTTTCCCAGTTGTTGGAGCCTTGGCACGGGAAGGCATCGCCATCTCCACCCTGGCCAGGCAGTAACGTAGTTTTTCCACAGTGAAAACCTAAACAAGCTCCCAGGTTTAAAGCAAACAAACAAACAAGCTTCTCCATAGCTTGAACCCCAGCTTTGCCATTTTCATATACCCAGAGTTCCAGGTGGAGAAGCATCACCGTGGTGGCCACACGAAGAAGCATCACAGCCAAGCCTGGTGCTGCCACCCACATCAAAAGAGGTCCAAGTCAGACCTCTTCCCATCACTCCCCCAAAACCAGCCGTGAAGTACTTTGACACCTGCCTTTGACCTTCTCCTTCTTCCCAACCCTTACTTGACCTGGTGGTGCCCACCTTCTAGAAGCTATTTGGAAAGCACCGATGCAGCGGGGTTAGCTTCTCATGCAAAAAGCCCTCTCCTCTTCCCTCCTTCCAAGCAGCATACAAACCCAATACCTTAATTTGGGTGAGGAGAGGGAAAGGGCAGCGAGTAAAGCCAATAGAAAAAAAAATCCTCCAACGGTATTTGGGAAATATTCATCAGAAGAGTGCACAGAGATGAAAAACGGCGAGTGCTATTTCCATATTTATAACCCCGTGCTGTGGAGGACTCCAGCAGGCAGGAGCACGCTGGCAGCATGGCTGGGAGAACCCAAAAAAAAACCAGCAAAAAAAAATTCCAATTAATGCTGAGAATCAGAGCGGCTTTGCTGCGGTTGGGCTCGACAGTGGCTGCCCGGCTCTGGCAGCTTTGCTGGGGAAATAACGAGGCAGATGAAAGCAGTTCAGCCGGCAAGCACCGGCCCGTGCGGCTCTTTGAAGGCAGCAGATCACAGAGGCAGCTTCCAGCAGGCTTGCGGTGATGGCTGCACCGGCACCCGTGTCCTTGCCACGCTGCTCGCCAAGTTTGGCCGCTGACCAGAGCACACTGGGAAGCCACAGGTTGACCACCGCTCCCAAATCCCTGCCTGGTCCCCGGAGCAAAACCACTTCAGGGCAGGTAAATGGTGCAGGGCTGATTCCAAAACAAATATTGCCCAAAACAGCTTGTTTGGGGATGAACTTTTTGTTAGCAAAGCTTAAAAACAACAAAAGTGCCTTGTTACCCAAGGCCACCCTTACCTTTGCAGGCCACGTTGTTCTCTGGCTCATAACCAGCCTTGCAGGTACAGCGACCGATGGGGACCATCCACTCCCCATCGCCATTGCAGTACAATTTGATGGGCACATCCACCTCCTCAGCATTGGGGATGCAAGTGCCACGGGCAGTCACTAGAGAGGTGCTCTCCGCTCCTGTCATCGTCTCTGGGAAGATGGCAAAGTTCTGCACCACGCTGGGGCACTTCTTGAAGAAGACCCTGACGGACAGCAGAGACATACAAGCCCCGTAGTCCTGGAAAGCCAGGTAAAAGCCATTGCGGGTCAGGGGCCCGAAACTTCTCACTTCTGTGTTCACCTTCATCAACCTGCCACCAAAGTCCACCTGGGAGAAGCTCTCGTCAGCAGCAATGGTGTCCACTTTGAGGTAGGGTGCCTCTGTCCAGAAAGCAGACTTCTTGGTGGCAATGACAGAGTCCGTCTCGTAGTAGTAGAGGTTGAAGGTCTCCTTGCAGGAGCCGGGGACATTGGGGAGGCTGCTGCAGTCCCGCACAGTGAAGCGCATCTCGGTGTAGATGCGGTGAGCTCCACGCCGGTTGATGAATGTGGTGAGGAGCCAGTTGTTCTGGTTGGGCTCGAAGACATTGCACACCTGGTACGTACGGATGGTGTTGAGGTTTTCGTCGTAGCCACTGACTTCTTCCCACTGCAGAAAGGAGAAGGGAGAGAGGTTGTGAGAGCATGGCAGAGGGACCGGCAGCAGCCCATGAGCCTCGGAGGTGCCACTCACCCTGCATGGGGCAGGGCTGGGCTGGAGGAAGGATCCCAAAGTGGGGCAGGAATGTGGTCGTAGACACATGACACGATGCACGTACCTGGGTCAGCACCAGAAGAAACCTTCACCCTCTTGCCCACGCATGCCTGCTCCCCTCTCCCCATCGCTCCCAGATGATGCTAAAACATCTTTCCCACGTGGGCAACCACCTTAACTGCCCCAAAGAGGACATAAAAATGGGTAGAATGATGGTCCAGGCACCCGGAGGCAGGAGGGAAAGCAGCATACAAGGCTACAGCTTCATTAAAGCCTGAGCCAGCACGTGGGCTGGAAAGCGAGCCTGACCCCAGGCTCTCGGCACGATGGGATCATTTCCCCCAGCAAAGAAAAACTAACTAAATAAAACATTACCGCCGTGGAGAGAGAGAATATAGATTTGCAATTCGATTTATAGAAGGGCATTAATATAATCCAGGCTACAATTTCAATTAAGGGACAGCGGCAAACTGTGAATAGTCTATAGTGGCATTAGAGTCCTACAGACAGATTTACAACCTCATAATCCATTCATTTTAACTAATCCATGTTTACAGTCTCCTCATAACAGCATTATTCATATGGCAATCTTTAAGCAGCACTCTGAATATCATGCATAATTTCCAGGAGCTATACCAGCGCTTGCGCATTTGTGCTTACATGGGGACACAACAGCGGACGGGTGACACCGACCTGCCCCGTAGCATTGAGTCTTCCTAAAGAGCTGATGCACCACAACCAGCCCTGCAACCTTACAGGTTCTACCCTCTTCCATTTTCCATTATACTGCCATGTTCCTCACCTGCTCCCCAAGCTTCCTCCTTGTAAACTGCAGCCCTGATGTAAAACAACACAGGGTTTTATTTTGTTTTCAAAGCAGAGTCCTCTGCACGCTGCCAACAAGCGCAGCAGAACATTTGCTCCTGGGCCCACCTACGTGGCTCTGCTAAGCTTAAGCAAAGATCACAGCTCAAGGTTGCACACTGTTGTTATGCGATGTTTACCAAACCAGCAATAAAACCTCATGCATCCAACCAAACGCTCTCACTTCTCATCCCACGCCACAAAAGCACTGCAAAAACCCCTCTTCACCCTAGACAAGATGTGTAGATTCAACACTCCTTCATTACCAGACACCTTTTCACATGAGAAAGCTGCCAGGTCCTCTCTGACCGAAGGGGTTGGCATTGTTTCCTGTTCTCACCTGGGCTTTGTATTACAGCCCTGTCATCCAATTAATGCCAGGCAACGAGCTCTCTTCCAGCACTCGCCCACCAGCATAACACTGACCCCACTGCTCCACTCTTTGCAGCGGGAAAATCCTCTTCATCCCGCTCGCTGGCTCCTTCCACCAAATGCTTTGCTGCTTTTTTTTTTTTTGGAGGGGGGAAGTTGCAAACAGAGCCTCAAAACTCAGAGCCAAAACCTGCCAGCGGACTCTGCCGCATTCAGGGACCCAGCACACTGGGCTGCCCATGGCTGGGAGTGACATGGAATGCCACTTGGAAAACCCTGGTGAGGGTTTGGGGCTGGATCCTGATGCTCCCTTGGGCATCCCTTGGGTTGAGCGCTCCAGCAACCAGGCACTGAAGAGCAGCAGGTCCCCATGGCTGGAAAGACCCATGGTGCCAGTGGCTGCTGCTGTTGATGCTCTAACAGAGACAAATGCATCGTTCTGAGGAGATCCCACTAAATAATTCACACACATCTGGGGATTAAGACAACGTTATTCTCTGTCTCCACTGAGATTTAAAGCATGCCCATCGGGAAGAGCAGGAGGAGAACCCATGTCCCGCCACGGCAAGAGCCTGGGGGAATGGGCTGATGCCCCAGCAGCAGCCAGGAGCCCCTCTCTCATCCTCCCATCTCCTCCCTCC